CCAAAACTGAAATGATCATTCATTTCTCAATTATTAGTCTTTTTGGTAGAACCTAAAATCAAAACCAATAAGCTTTATGGATGAGTTTTATCGGTTAGTCTCAAGAAATTACAAAGAAAATAAATATATAAACTCATCCATGAAGGTTACTAGTTTCGAATTTGGGTTAGAAAAGAGTAATGATTTCGGTTTTGGGTTCAAAGCTTCAAAATCAGCGACGGGTTTGGGAAAAGAGTGCGAGGAGATGGAGGAAGCTTAATTGAGGAGAGAAAAAAGTGTGAATTTACAATTTTATCCAAACCATGTTTTTAACGGAAATGTTAACAAAGGACCATTCGTGGAAATGAATATAATAATTGGAGACTAAATTAGTAATACTTGATATGTAGGGAATAAATATGTAAAACGATCTATAACTAGGTATCTTTTATGGAATTTAATCTTATTTTTTAGTTTCAATAACTTAAAAACTTCACAATCACAAAACATTATTGAAAAATGTTAGGTGCCACATGTAGATGCTATCATAGTACACTCATACTTTGCACAAATGATAATCACTTGTGCCACACAAATTATTACTAATTGTGTTATCTCTGAGAACCACAAGTGTACCCAAATTAGCAGTCATGTGGTTACATTAAAAAGATCTGTTTGTGAATGCATTGACATAAAAGGTGATTAAGATCCGAGCAACTTGTAGCTCATCAAACGCATGACTCTTATGTTGCACACGATCATCTTTCATAAGATATTGAAACTTGTCTTTAATTTGTGAAAAGATCTTATGTTGCACATGATCATCTTTCATAATATGTCAAAAGTTAAAACAAATTTCTATCTTTTTCTTGGGATGTTTATTGACGTTATCTACATTCTTAAATAGTTGTCTATTTTGATCTTTTAGATACATTAAATTTTGAATTAAATTTTGAATTAATATAGATAAGCATCATTTCTACATTCACCTAATTCTAAATATCTTTAGAAAGTCATACTAAATAATTACTCCCTCATCGTCAAAGTTCTTTTCAAATTGATGTTTTTCAGTTTTTAAGGAAAATTTAAAAAATAATGAGAAGATTTTTGGGTCGTTTCCCTCAGACGGAAAAAAAGAAAAGATTAATTCCTTAACTGGAACATGAAATTCCTTATAAGAAAATTCGCACATAGTACATGCGAATTCAAAAAAAACTTTAAAAAAAAACTTTTTTTGGAACTGTCAAATCTTCAGTGACTTTTGCAGAGAAATCGAGTGTAGTACATGCGGATTGATTTTTTAATAGTTTTGCATGTAGTACATGCGAAAACAATGTACTTTTTCCACTTTCCAATAAATCTACTTTAATCACCTTTTCCATTTTCCACCTTTTCCACTCCCACCACAAGTTTCAACCACCTCCTTCCCAACCATCCAACTTAACCCACTCCTTCATCTTCTTAATTATCACTCATATATTTTTATTCAAACCACCCCTTCACTACCACTTCACTCACTCTTCAAATTTAACCTATTCTCACACTACTCCATAACATTCAACATTTCTCACGTATTTTTTATTACTTATATTTCACTTAGCTTTTAAATATTAATAATATTGATTATAGATGTTATGTTTTTATTTTTTTGAATGCAAATAAAAACATAACATCTATAATCAATATTATTAATATTTAAAAGCTAAGTGAAATATAAGTAATAAAAAAAATATTATTTTTCATTTTCATTTGATTTATTAAGATTGTGTTTATATATTCTAAACTCTGTGCTCCATAAAACTTTTAATTTTTTATAAAAGTTTATGAAAATATTTTTTTCGAAATTATGTTTTTTAATGAATTTTTTTAAAGATAGTGTTTACATGAATATATTTTTTTCGAAATTTTGAAGATATTTTTTAATGAATTTTGTATGCACTAATATTAAGAATAAAAAAATTTAATTTTTATTATTTTATTTTTGAAGTGCAAAAATGGATGACATGGAAAGAGAAAGAGAAATGGAGAGAGAGATAACGGGCCCTAGAATAGATTACATTTGCAGAATACTCATCGTTCTAGTCGGGTATGGAAACAATAAGGAGTTTTGCGACAATAAACTAGTTTCAGTTAGATATCATAATCGCACCCATACTGTTTTTCATGACCCCAGGGTTCTCCAAAATTTACAGAGGGCTGGATTTATGGGGTAGACCATGTGCACCCTATTAGATTTGACCATGGTTTAATCACCGCTCTCATTAAGCGATATAGTCCGGAGGTGCATGCTTTTCATTTACCTTTGGAGAAATGGGTATCATTTTACAGGATTCTAATTTTGCATGTACTACATGTGAAATACAGAAAAGTACAGCAGAGTCAACATCGTGTGTGCTACATGTGTGGAAATATACTTCTTAATATTTTTTAAGGGGGTGAGATCCTAGAGAGTGATGGTCATATACTCTACTCTACACTAGAGAATACCAAAAAGCACTTGTTGTCAATTCAAGTTTTCCATGAGATATTGTTAAAGACGAAATACAAACTCACTTTAGTAACGTTGGAGTACAAAATGACCCGGAGTACAAAGTGAAACTCATTTAACATAATGGTTGAATCATTTGAAAAACGAACAAGATTGTTGTTCAGTTGATGCGGAAAAATATCCGCACAACTCCTAAAATTGTAACAATTCTTTGTCACTGCGAGAAGACAAAGCACCAGTGTGTAGGGATGGCAATTCAACCCGAACCCGAGTTTAACCGACCCGACCGACTACTAAAATATCTGAACCCGAACCGAAAATAAAATAATCCGAACCCGATCCAAAAATTTTTACCCGAACCCGACATCAGGTTGGGTCGGGTGTGGATTTATAATTTTGCCTGACTTGACCCGAACCCGACCAGACTAAAACCCGAATATTTTATTACATAAAAGTCTATCTATGGATATAATGAACACTCCGTAAAATCTCTTGACAAAGTGCTACTATATGAAGTATGTCTTTTATAATCATTTTTATAATCCCTTAATAAAAAATGAGACATAAAAAAAGAGACAAAAAAATTAGATTTAATCTTTTCAAAATTATTGGGGTACGTCGAATTGATTATTGGTTAAAAGTCGGGATCGGGTCGAGTTCGGGTTTCAGGTTGAAATGTTGGGTTTGGGTCGAGTCAGATTATTGGCTTAAAAGATCGGGTTTCGGGTCGGGTTCGGGTTTCAATTTTACAAGTCGGGTCGGGTTCGGGTTTCAGTTTTACAAGTCGGGTCGGGTTCGGGTATAATACTATCCGACCCGAACCCACCCGTTGCCATCCCTACCAGTGTGTACTACATGATGCCAAAATTCTGAACAAAAAAAACAATGGCATGTATAACATGCAATTGTCTTGCTCACGAAATACTTTATCCAAATATTCGTAAGTGAGGGAATTTCTCCAAGATTTTTTGGGAAGATATCATGGAGTAATTAAAGTGGGCCCATGACAATATCATCTTTGGGATATCCCGACAGGAACATGGTGGTGAGCCCCGCGCACATTTCTTGACCAGGACACACGTCAGTTCAACGTGGTAGCAACGTATATTCCGACACGAAATTTCAAACCACTTCGGAACCTGCCCACCTACATTAGTGCCGTTTGGTAGGCATGCTCTTTTTTAAAGAGCCCGGTTCAATGGTCACTGGATTCCAACGGTCACGGAAGTCACTGTCCCCTAAGTATAAAGTCAAAACTTTTGATTTTAAAGTCAATTATACTTACGAGGTGCAATTGACGTAGGTGAGGTGATTAGTTTGGGTCGGGACTAGGCGGGGGGTTTACCGGAGGGGTTAGAGGGGTAGGAATCATCAATTTTATGAACGAAGCTCCGTAGGGGGCAGTGGCTTCCGTAGCAAATCCAGTGGTCATGGAATCAGATTCCTTTTTAAAATCATCTTCTTAACGATTAACGACCATAGTCGGTTTGATTTAGAAACAAAGAAATGTGAAAAGATAAAGTATGGAGTTCAATACATTATCTAAACACTAATTCTATACATTTTCTGTTGTCTCGACGAAAGAAAGATGGACCTACATCATTAAAAAAAGATGTAAGAAACGGTTTTAACTTTTAATATATGCTCTCATGCATTTATCATTTATTTAATCAATCTTTGACTTTATAAATTATTCTACGTATTTAATTGATAATTATTAATAAATCTTATGATCTAATTAGAATTTATATTTATTTGTGTTTTTTTATGGCCTATATGATAAAATAAAATATTCTTGTCACCACTTGTTTTGATGAACTTTTGATGTAGTTTTTAAATATATATATTATTTTTTATTTCTATACCAATATTTAAATAAAATAGATTGAAAAAATTTGAGATTTTTCTTCGTTTGGCGCAACGGGAAGAAAAATATAGGACAGAGGGAGTATAAAGGAATCATTAGAATGAAATTTACACCCCATTACACGCATCTCTTCTTATCAAATCATAGTTTTAATAACCAGATCGGTAACCAAACCGGACCAGGTATTGGTTTACTGGTGCAACCAGTGGTTTAAACATATCATATATATATATATATATATATATATATATATATATATATATATATATATATATATATATATATATATATATATATATATATATATATATGGATGCGTCTAAAATGACACCAGTTACTTATACACCAATTGCTTACACCAGTTCATTTGGGGTACCTACGGTGCTCCGTTTGTAAAAACGATGGTTCCTACCTCCCTAACACTCCCCCTAAAACCAGCTGTTAGAGATGCATTGTACTTTGAACCATGATTATTTTGTATATCATGCTTTAAGCCTTCATACGAACCACCTCTGGTATATAGTGAATCAGGGGATGTATCAAGTTGATGGGGTGTGTTATGCCTTGAACCTTCACGATACTCACTCCTTGTTATCAATGCATCATGTCTCGGTACTTCAGGAGTCAGGCACCCTTTAACTGGTAAATCTTGCCTTGAATCTTCATGAGACTCACCATCATTTATGGAATTAGTGTGGCCTGAATTGTGATCACCAAATTTTGAAAGTTAAAGAGGCTATTTGATCTTTCATCTTTTGATTTTCATCTTCCATCATTTACAATTTTTTAAGGATTTTTGCCATTGCAGTTGGCTCAGCATCTTAACAATTCTTACAGAGCTCTTTTGCATTAACTCCATGACCTGGACCTATCACTTTTCCCTTTTCTGGTTGAGACCTATTATTTTTTTATGAGAAAAATTTTCTGCCTCTCTTGTTGCTTCTGAAAAGTTACAATCTCCAGTCTTTTTCTTAATAATAGCCATGGTTGTGTTCTAACTCAAAACAAAAATAATAAATTAATTATTAATTTTAACCTTATATCTAAGTAACACCCACATGATGTATATGTAATTACCACAAACTCTATTGTGATGGGATCATGAAAGGTTTTATCTTTCTTCTCACGTGTTTGTATGAACCGCTCGATAGACCCTAGCATTCGTTTATGCTTCCTTTCCTAATTGGATATATAAAAAACATATTCAATGGATAACATACATTAAATTTAAGAAATAATGAATAAAGTTAAAATAAAATAATTTATAAACTTACAAACTTATCGATTGATATTGCAAAACTTTTAGATCCATTAGTGTGAGAATGTGTTAGTTCTCCTCTAGCATTCTTCCCATGTTGAGACTTTTTCTACATATCAATATAAGAATTAATATTAACACCATTCTAAATTACACACATATCAGAGTATCATTATAAAAAATTTCATATAACCATTGATACTTTGTAGAGTTCAACGCTAACCTCAAACTCTGTTGAAAAACACAATGTCACAAATCCAGCCCACATAACGTCATCCACCTCTTTCAGACGTACAAGACGCTCATTGTCACGTGACTTGGAAATGGGTAAATTATATAAGTCCTCCTATTTTGTACCTTTATGAATATAGTTTTGTCGTAAAGAATGTTTGTAACCTCTTAGCCTTTCTCTAATAGTGCTTAAAATTTTGTTTTGAACTCAATCGGTGGATGGCAATACAAATTTTTTCAACGTGTAATTATATAGATGAAAAGTTAAATTCATTTCAAAAAATATAAAGTGATTCGTATAAGAATAATGGACTCCTAAGACTAACAAAAAATTAAATTTGGCTGACCTTTATATAGTCTAATATGCAATTTGTCTATAATGTAGGCACAACAGACCAATCACTATAACTTATAGGACAGAATTGAGGACGCTTTGCAATGTCAGCTAGAAATCGATTGAACAGATCTCCCGCTTTCTTAACAGGCTGTAAAAGCTTGTTCATTGGTACTAGAATTCTAGTTCCAGCATCCAAGCCAATCACCACTTTTACAGTAATTCGTCCCCTAAGCTTACTCATGTTTCCTTGAGCATCTATAAGAGCACATGAGATAAGTTGCAAATATACAATATTGTTGCAATCAGAAGGTTCAAAAGCATAAAAGTGATGAAAATTAAAACATATTAATACATATGTTCAAGACTTCATCATCATCATTAAACCCTTCAGGTACGGGTATAAGAGATGGATCCAAATAAAACACGACATCACAGTCATCATCATCTCCATAATCATGATTGTACTCATTGTCCTGTTCACTATAAGTTTCATCTATATCATGTATAGTAAAGTCATTTGGAGCTCTGCCTTCATTTTCAAGCAAGTGCTGATACTCTTGAAAGGTACGCTTTGAACAGAACATTACTTACTCAAATTAGATCTGTGCGGCATAAACTGTTAGCTTCAAGGCATATCATGTACGGAGTAATATACATTCTACAAGCAGAAAACTAAATCAAAAGTGCATATCATTAAAAAATAAATGATGATACGATCACTAAGCACATACTGAGAATTAAAAGAATAATACAACAATATGCAAGATCGAAAAAATCATCTTTTAAATGTAAGAAAAAAAGTATAGGCTTAAAGTTATGCTATTCAACATCTTTAAATGAGCCTAAGTCATATGTGTTGTTAGCCTTGGTTTGCTAAGCCTCATGTTTTAATGTTAACAAACAATATAAGAGCTTAACATTTGTTTAAGTGTTTCAGGAAAAAAAAGAATCCATTAAAATTCGGTACTCAAGAATGAAATCGAAACACTAAACTAACGTAGAATATAGGTAGAAACCAATGTAAGGATATGACTTTATATACCTATATTCACAAGCTCAAAAGCACTCACAAAATATGTTTAAAACCATCCCATAAACATTTTCAAACATCTAAAAGGTTTTAAACTCAAACACGAAGGATTAAGGGAATTTTGGAAAAATCAGAACAGAGTCACGGTACCCCTAGCGGTACCCAATACCGCCCAAACGGTAGGGTATACCGCCTACACGATACCCCATACCGTCCTATCCAGGTACCGCTGGAGCTGAATCAGTTTTCAGTGTTACACAGTACCGAGGTACCGCCACTCACGGTACCCCCTACCGTACGCACGGTACCATGCTACCGTGTGGACGGTACCGGCCTACCGTGACCGTTGGGTTACTGTTCCTGATTTGTGATTTTGAATTAAATCAACCCTAATCACCTCCCAACAGCTAATACAAGCCTAATCCTTCATATTTCTTCAAGAAACAAAGCTCTAAACATCCTCTCTTTTTATTCTAAGTGTGTTCATCCTTTTATTAATTATTTTCAATATTTTGGCTATTTCAAGAGCCTTAAATTCCTGATTTTTATACACACACTTTGAGCTTGTGTTTCTAGTTATATACTCTCATATTCATAAGTTTGAATTGTATTTTTGAGAGAGTATACTTTCCTTCTACACCATCAAAGTTTTGTTCTTCATTTTAACATTCTAGCCGTTGTGCAGAATCCTTGATTGTGTTCATCAAACACACATTCTTACGGTCGAGAATAACCGTTAAATTCTCACATTGTACCGGTCAAGGATAGCCGTATAAATCCTTGGGTAAAGGTTCACGGATAGCCTTTGAACTCCTTTGGGGAACGGTAGAAGATAGCCATTAAATCTTCGTTGTAAACGGTTTGAGATAGCCATTGTGAAATCTCGGAGTGAATCCTATTGGAAAGGGTTGTTTGCCAAAACTAGTGCGGTGCGTTGACGGAGTTCAAGAGACCGGGACTTAGTGGATTCGGAAATCCTCTAGGAGGAGCCTTGAGGTACTGGAGTAGGGAGTTCCCGAACCAGTATAAATTCGGTGTGCATTTTATTTACGCTTTTATTTTTGCGTTTTATATATTGCTTCCGCATTTGCCAACACCATTTTTATTAAACTCCGAAAAGTTTTCAAATGCCTTATTCACCCCCCTCTAAGGCGTGGGCACAACGACTAAACCGACTAACATGTGTCTCTTGGCTTTGCATGAACAACATGCTCCCTTATCTCTCTCGTCCTCAACATAAAACACTTGTTGGGCTTGTGAAGATAAGAAATAAGGATCATCCTTTAAAGCCCCTCCGACATGTATCTTATGTATGAAATTCAAGAGTGTGAATCCTCTTTTGTCCTTCTTCATCCCTTTTGAGTGCACATTCACCCAACCATAACGAAAAAGTACGACTTTATACTCTGAATAATAATCTAACTCAATAATGTCATTGATTTTTCCAAAGTATGTTTTATCCCTAGCTTCAACTGCAACGTCAAAATTTTGAGTTGTGTTCTGATGGTCTCTTTTTTGAGTGTGAAACCGGTACCCATCGATCACAAACCCGCTCATTCTCTTCACTACTCGATGAGGACTTGAAGCCACCGCCCTAAACACACTTGATTCTGAATTTTCAATATCTATGTTTGAGACCTAAGGTATATATATAAATAGCATTAGTTTTATGGAAAATCCTTCTTTAAATTATTGTCATTTGAAGACATAAGTTATTAAACAAATATCATTTCTCTTATCCAGGTTGGAAAATCCCCAACCAACCATTTTAACTTAATTGCATCTGTTGGCACTCGAGGATAAGATTCAAATTTTTCATTAAAAAACAACCTATAATACGTAAAAAGAGTTGAAAATTAATGTTATCGATCATTAACTTGATTAAAAAATAATTAGTACACTCATCTATGATACTCATCAATACCATCAAGGTGCAGGAGTACATATCGATGAGCTTGTTGGAAATCTAATTCAGGGATTTCAACCATATCCACCATTCCTTTAGGCTCACCCACAGTATCAAAAAGATAAGTGTCATTAGCAACGAGACTACTATCATTGCATCGTTGTAGACTAAAAACAGTTTCCACCCCTCCAAAATACCTTGAGCAAAAGGTTATACATTCATGTGCAATGTATCCTTCTGTGATTGAACCCTCCAGTTGTGCCTTATTACGTACTTGGCCTTTAAGGAATGCAAGAAACCTACGATGACCATAAATAAATATTACATCGGTAATTGATACTTACCTAAACATAAAAGAAGAGTATTTATTCTTACCTCTCTATTGGATACATCCATCTGTAAGAAAGAGGACCTCCAAGCTTTACATCATCAGGAAAGTGAATAATCAGGTGAACCATGATAGTGAAAAAATGTGGAGGAAATATTTTCTCCAATTTACATGATGTTGTGACAACATTAGCTTTCATTTCAACTAATTTCTCAATAGACAATTCCTTCGAGCATAATTCCTTAAAAAAATTGATAACTCAATCAAAACATCCACAATATTGGTATCTTTAGTAGCCCTTAAGGCAATATGGAGCAGGACATGCATCAAAATGTGACAATCATGACTTTTCAAATTGAATAATTTGTGCTTTTTAAATTCACACATCGAGATATATTACTTACATACCAATCTGGGAATCTTACATGCTTCAAGAAATTTAGAAAACGTGTCTTCTTTTCAGATGACAAAGTATAAGGGGCAAAATGGATTTCATACTTGCCATTTGGTAACAAAATAGGATTAAGAGAGGGTTTAATATTTAAAACTTATAGATCTTTACGCGCCTTCAAGTTATCTTTTGATTTCCCTTCTATATCTAATAATGTACCCAAGAAGTTATCACATATTTTCTTGTCAATATTCATAACATCCAGACTGTGGCAAAGGAGATTATATTCCCAATAAGGCAAATCAAAGAAAATACTTCGCTTCTTCCATATCTATTGTTCATCATTTTCATTGATCTCCACATTTGGAAAATCACCCTTTCCATATGTAAATGTTGTACCTTGTAATTGCTCTAGCACATCACTACCACAACAATATTTAGGACCATCTCCAAAGTCAACATTCCCATCAAATCCAACATCGTCAAAACAGAATGCATGATTCTTAGGAAGCCACCTTCTATGACCCATGTAGAAAAATTTATGCCCATTTTCCAACCATATCAAATGTGTATCTTTAGCGCAAGATGGGCAGGAAAAACGACCCTTAGTACTCCAACCATATAAATTTGCATATGCAGGAAAATCATTGATTGTAGAATGGAGAGTTGCACGCAACTTAAATTTGGTATTTGTGTGTGCATCGAACGCATCAACCCCATTCCATAATTGTAATAATTATTTGATTAAGGGTTGAAGATAAGCATCAATATCCATTCCGGGAGCCTTTTCTCCCGGTATAATCATAGATAAAATAAATGAGTGTTATTTCATGCATAGCCAAGGAGACAAGTTATATGGAATAAGCAACACTGGCCAAGTACTATGATTTGTACTCATGATTCGGAATGGATTAAACCCATCGGTATCAAGTCCCAACCTAACATTATGTGGATCAAAAGCAAAATCGGCATTCAATCTATCAAAATCCATCCATACTTCTGCTGGATGCCTTAGCTTTCCATCTTTGACCCTATCTTTTTGGTGCCAAATCATATCCTCGGCTATCTTTGAAGACTTGTACATTCTGAGTAACCTTGGTATAAGAGGAAAGTAACACAATACCTTATGTGGTACTTTTTATTTTGGTATTTCCACCGTGAAGCACCACATTTGTCACACTGATTTTTATTTTCCCTTCCATTTCAGTAAAGAATACAATCATTAAGACAAGCATGGATCTTTTCATAATGAAGGCCTAAATCCCTCATTAACTTCTTACATTCATTCCATGATGTGTGAAATGGTGTAATCTTTGTGAAGACAACCCCTAAAAGTTCAAGCAACATGTTGAATGATTTAATGGACCAACCATGCATGCATTTCAGATGGAATAAGTGTAACATGAAAGATAACCTTAAATAACTTGATCTCGGATATAACTCTTGATGGGCTTGCTCAAGTAGATTTTTGTACCTAACCTCTTCAAAGTTCTCATCTTCATTCATAGCTTCGTAAGAGTTAAGTTCATCAATAAAGTCATCATTTACCATAAACTGCTCACCATCTATACCAAATGCAAGATCGAAATCAAGATGGTTACCGGAGTCAGGGTGCTGCGATTTTCTATAAATCCCTTCATTGCATATCCCTAAAATATCACTAAACAATGCATTATTATCTACATTCCCAACAAAGTTTGCATCATTGCTAGTGTTGTTGTGGCCTGGGGTATGTGGAATTGATGCACCTATAGTCGAAATTGTATCCCCATGATGCACCCATTTTGTGTACTTAGGCCAAAATCCATTGAACATGAGGTGTTCAGTCACTTCATCTCTATTAAAATAGCCACTACGCCCAATTTTACAACGATTACAAGGGCAAAGAATCGTATTACAGTTTGGAGCATTTGCAAAAGCAAAATCGAGGAATGCTTGAACTCTACCTATAAACTGTGTCGATGTTCTATGCATATTAATCCAACTCTTATTCATTTCAAACAATGTTTTAACCTAAAAAAATAACAAACAATGTTTTAGCCTTAAAAAATAAAAAATAATAAACCATATAGATTACTTTTATACTTAAATGACAAAAAAATAATAAAATACTTTGTAAAACAGGTGTCTCCTGCCAAAAAACCAACTAGGCACAAACTTGAGTGACACTAGAAATATGCTTAGTCAATAAGGTATAGCAATCAATACTCATCAAACTATCTATGAGACGAATCCACAATGATAGCAGAGACACATTTTTTTTCAATTACATGTCACAAGACTCACAAATCCCATAAAGGTGGGGAGAAATAGAAGCTAGTAACAGTGACAGTTAAAGAAAAGAGGAAGGGGTGGGAGGGTGGAGGTAGGTTAAGTGGGTGGGTAGCTGACATGACATCCACCGGCTAACGACAAAGCATTCTATGATAGGTACATCATAAGCATAGTATAAGCAAAGTATTCATACAATTCAATTATGCCTTAATAGTTAAGATACAAAACTTAAGTTTTTAGTTTGTAATGGTTTTTAAGAATTTAAAGAGTACTTCCATGTTCCCAAACATAATTTTTAGGTTCACCCATTGAGGTAAAACTACACTTGTACATTGGTACTGTTAATATACTTTTAATCTATATTGTTTGCCACTATGTTTTTAGAATCTCAGATTTTATACAGTTTAAGAAGAGCAGATGAGTGTATTGATATTTATCATAAACTCCAACAGTCCAAGATACACACACTAGAGACAAATATGGTTGCTTGCTTGGTTTTTGCTGGAAAGGCACCTGAAGTGCGGGAATATTTAAACTCTGTTAGGGTTAAACAACCTAGCATATCTGGGTTGGCATTTAACACTTCCTGCTCATTAATTCAAAATCAAAATTACAACGATGCTGAACATATGTGAGAGAGTAATAAAGAGTGTTTGAGGTGACTTCATTACAAAGAATAAGTGTTAGAGAAAGTAATTTACTTTTACTTAAAAAATAATCATCTCACTTTAAAATGGTAAACGTGCTTTTGGTGGTGTAAAGCTTAATGCTTATTTAAGCTTGATATGGCTAAGGCCTATGACTGGATGGAATGGGGTTTCCTATAGAATATGTTGTAGTGTCTTGGCTTTTGTTACCAATGGATTAGCCTCATAAATTTGTCTGTGACCACGGTTCGTAATCGTATTCTAGTGAATGGTGTTCTCTCTGATTCGATCTTACCAACATGGGGTTTACGTCAGGGTGACCTGCTAAGTCCATATTTATTCAT